TGTGAAGAAATGGTTGTAATTCCTACACGGTTCATACTACATTTTTGAAAAAAGCCTTAAATGAAAGCTGAGAGTCTGCACTTTAAGCAGGTATTCATTGTTTCATTTAAAACCCATTGTGGTGGTGTACACAGCCAAAATGATGACAACTGTATCATTGTCCAAATAATTATGGACCTGACTGTATATTGGCATCTATGTGCACCTTGGGAAAAAAGTTAGCGTCAAGCCCTGAACCAGCCAGCAAGAAGCAAAAAACCTTCACCGAGGTGATGTTAGTTTGACGTTGGATATCCAACAGATATTCGCATATTCATTTTGGATTCAACAGTGATTTTCACCTCCCTCTCATAGACAGAAAACAATGAGCAACATAGAAAGGTGTAATACCCTCACCTGCCCACACACACACTCAAACACTCACAAAAACACACTTTCTATTTTATAGGAATTTCCAAAAAATTAATTTGGTTGTCTACGAAAAAAGTCTATTTTCTTCAATAGCTCTGACATTACTGGACCCAGACACCCCACACCAATGTAGAATGGTTTGGCCAAGTGGGCCTAATAAGGCAACTAAACTGCACATCTGAGAGTGAGAGACAGACTGTCTATTTTTTTTGTTTTTATTTATTTATTTCAATAATGTTATGTGTTATTTCGGATATTTAAATTTTCTTTTTTGGCATACCTAAATATTCTTGTTAAATAAATGTTTATTTCTCTTTAAAAGGGTGTACTTGAATCAGTATGCCTTTATTATCATTATATAAGTTTAAAAAGAGCAAAATTACAACAATAATAAAAAATGGTCTTAAAAGCACAATGTTACGCAATATTATCGCCTATTGCAATAATTTCTGACGCAATTAATCGCCCAGCAAAATTTGTTATTGTGACAGGCCTAGCCAAGTCGCCTAATGAGACACACCTATTTATATAAAGGTTTCATGCTCTTTCTATTTTATATTTAATTTTTAAACGAACGCCACTGGTTTTCAGTGAAAAGAAAGTTGATTTTCTTCGATAGCTTTCACATTACTGGACCCACACACCCCATACCAATGTAGAATGGTTTGTCCAAGTGGGCCTAATGAGGCACACCTCTTTTTAAATGGGTTTCATGCTCCTTCTATTTTATACAATTTTTTTAACCAAACTCCATTGGTTTTCAGTGAAAAAAGTCTATTTTCTTCAGTAGCGTTCACATTACTTGACCCAGACACCCCAGACACCGTGGCGTTTGTTTAAAAGAAATTGTATAAAATAGAAAGAGCATGAAACCCATTTATAAAGAGGTGTGCCTCACTAGGCAAGAGCTTTCCCTCCGTTCATTACGCTAATGAACCAACTCACCTGGCTGCCAGATGATGCATGGCAGTGAACGCTCTTGTCGTCCAGTCTCTTTGGTGGAGAGAGACGAGGAAAACAAACACGCATGAATATGGCAATTAATCGCGGCCGGAAAAGTTNGCAGTGAACGCTCTTGTCGTCCAGTCTCTTTGGTGGAGAGAGACGAGGAAAACAAACACGCATGAATATGGCAATTAATCGCGGCCGGAAAAGTTTCCGTCTCCCTTTTAATTTACCATGCAATTAACCGACTTATCGCATATCGCAACAGGCCTACACTTGGCCAAACCATTCTACATTGGTGTTGAGTGTCTGGGTCCAGTAATGTGAAAGCTATTGAAGAAAATATACTTTTTCACTGAAAACCAATGACGTTTGTTTAAAAACATTGGTATAAAATAGAAAAAGTATGAAACCCATTTATAAAGAGGTGTGCCTCATTAGGCCCACTTGGCTAAACCATTCTACACTGGTGAGGGTGTTTGGGTCCAGTAATGTGAAAGCTATTGAAGAAAATAGACTTTTTTTCCACTGAAAACCAATGATGTTTGTATAAAAAAAATTATATAAAATAGAAAGAGCATTGAACCCATTTAAAAAGAGGTGTACCTCATTAGGCCCACTTGTCCAAACCATTCTACATGGGTGAGGGTGTCTGGGTCCAGTAATGTGAAAGCTATTGAAGAAAATAGACTTTTTCACTGAAAACCAAATTAATTTTTTGGAAATTCCTATAAAATACAAAGTGTGTTTTTGTGAGTGTTTGAGTGTGTGTGTGTGGGGGGGGGGTGGGTGTGTTAGCCCTACTCTATGTTGCTCACTGTTTTCTGTCTATGAGAGGGAGGTGGAAATCACTGTTGAATCCAAAATGAATATGCGAATATCCATTGGATATCCAATGGCAAACTAACATCACCTCGGTGAAGGTTTTTTGCTTCTTGCTGGCTGGTTCAGGGCTTGACGCTAACTTTTTTCCCAAGGAGCACATGTGCTCCTAAGTTGAAAAAGTAAGGAGTGCACAAAGAACTTTAGGGGCACAATCTAAATTGATCAAATAATGTGTTTTCCATAATAAATGTGATGCAAATAGACATTTACAAGCAAAATGATTTAATGAATTTTAGGGATGTCCCGATCCAGCTTTTTCCGCTTCCGATCTGATACCAATATTACAGCCTTGAGTTCTGTCCGATACCGATCTGATCCAAGCACGTATTATACATATTCACTTATTTTGTTGTCAGTCATGTTAGAAAAGGTTTGATCAAGCAAAGAACAACTACTTAATCAGGTTAGTTAGAATGATCCACAACAGTTGGTATGAGAAACTGACCTGTTTATTGTTAACAGGGTTAAATAAACAAACTTTAAACTTGAACATTAACATTAAATAAAAGATATAGCTGGTTTGCTTTGGCTGCTTTGGCCCCTTAATAAATAGAAAATGAATCAACACAAGAAATCTTTAAAATGTCTAACATTGAAATTAAAATAGCAGCAAGACTCCACACACTTGTGCTTTGGCCCCCTAATAAATAAAAAATAGATTAACACCACAAGACATTGTTGACATTTAACAAACAATGCAGCCTTTCCTTTTCAGTTATTTTAGTAGTGTCAGTGCAAGCCTGGTGCTGCTGTTTCCTGGGACCAACAGAGGGGACAAAAAAAACACACACAATATTGTACAACTGTTTAAACAAGCAATAGTCCATCCATGGCTCCAATTTCACTAATTGTGCCCAAAACAATGCCATCAGTGCTCTTTACTTAAACAGTAAGAGTGTAAACTAAATAAAAATATCACTCTCAAAAAACCAGAGCAGAAAACAAATAGTCAGTTAACTAAATTGACCGCTACTCTTCCTACCCTCCGTGTGTGTCTGCCGTCTGCATGCTGGCCTGGTGGATTAATAGTAAGAGCTGGAGCAGTTCACTGGAATGGACTGCTTGAATCGCAGAGCACTGGGCTGGCCGGAAAACCTGGATCAGACTCTGTGAAAAACTGGATCGGAGTTCTTGGATCGGCATTTTTCCATGCAGTCCAATCCGATGCCGATGCACGTTTTTTGCTAATATCGGCGGCCGATACATCCCTAATGAATTTGTATACAAAATGTACAGAAAGGTAAAATCATCAAGTTTTGAAAAAGTATTGCAATTTAATTTTGTCTTTAATGTTATTATCTTATTATCTTATAATTATCTTTGCAATATGATTATCTTATATAATATTATTACTATCCTAAAACATTCTCCAGGTACTCTGAAACTCTGCATGACTTATTTCCACCCTGCCCAGCAGCAGTACCGTGGCGAACGGTCCCTAACTGCGGGGAGAACGGAGCAGGCTTCCCCGGAGGTCTGCCGCTTTTCCCAGGCCCTCTTCTCCGCCACACTTTGACTTATTCCCACCCAGCCGACAGAGGGACTGATATTCATTGTGCCGACAGTGGCTTGGAAAACTGCCCATAACCGTGTCACACGGGGAAGAGGGAAGAGGGAAGGTGGCTGGAGTTCCTCCAACATTTGCGGTTAGATTATCATATTTTTTTATTGACAAAAATATAGGCTGCTTCGGCTGATTTTTTTTATGCGCACATGTGCCCCTAAATATTTTTTACAGTTCGCACACACCTATTTTTAGTCGCAAATGTGAGTGAAACACTCGCACTGTCGAGCGCTGTGGTTTGCTGAACATAGTTAAAACACAGCAGCACTGCCCGGCAGCACACGTCTCATCTGTGCGATTGATTCAGATCACAACACGACAGCATGTGTATGCCGCCTGGCACCGCCTCACAGCAAATGCGTCAGAGTTGGCAGCTCTGCTTCGCTTTATATACAGGGCACAGCTCTGTGGGAAACAGTAGGAGAGACACAGTCCGAGGGGGACCCAGGTTCTGACACAACGCTGAAGGGAGAAGCAGGTCCGTGGAGCTGTGCACCGGACGGAAATAACAAGCGCGTCGCACCGAGTGCGCGCTGCTACGGCATTGCTTTGGGTTGTGAGCGCGCATGACGTGCGTCTGCATTCAAAGTAATGGGTTTGTGCGCGCAAAAGACACTACACCCGAACGCCCCCCATGCACACACACGCTTTAACCAAGGCGGCGGCCAAAATCACCCAGGCAGCCCGCCTTTGTCTTTGAATACCCTGCTTCAGTGTTATCTAGCCATGTTGATACTGCAGGTAGGGTTTATTAGCCCAGATTTGGAGACATGGCTGAGACATGACGTCACACCCAGTCCAATTGAAACTTGTGGTTCATTTACAGGTTGTTATATAAATAGACTTAAAACAACTCATAGGCTCCAGCAGTTAACCTGCAGATTGTCTAATTTTTCCTATATTTTCCCCACAAACAAGAACGTATGCCAGCAGCTTGGTGGCTCAGTGGTTACCATTGTTGCATTACAACAGTGTTCAATTAAGTGTGTCATTGCTGTGTCAGGTCCGCATGCAGCATATGGACCGCTGCACCAACTTCCTGGTGGATGAGCTAGGTGTGGTGGACCGAGCCCAGGCCAGTGACCGCATCTTCTTCGTCTCTGCCAAGGAAGTACTTCAGGCTCGTGTACAGAAGGCCCAAGGAATGCCTGAAGCAGGTGGGGATACTAGTCTGTGTGGATTCTGGCAGGGTTTGGGTGTGACGGGGTGGTGCTGGAGTAGAAGAACGATCACAAAGGTCATTAATGATCACAAGTGTTCAAGGCCACAGTAATATGTTGTCTTGATGGAGTGACAATCATTCTACATTGTGAGCCACACAAGGTTAATGCATACCATAGCTTTGAAAAGACCACACAAGGGATGGGCAATATGGCCCTATAATAATATCTCTATATTTCAGGGTATTTTTGTAATAATGATATTCTTAACGATATGACAAATTAGTCATAGAAATATTCTGTTGTTAATTTTAGAACATGGAATTGCAACAAAATAAGTGATACGTGTCAACCTATGAGCTTGCCTTCAAAAACTAAAGAAAAAGGATCTCTCATTTCTTAAGTCTGTAGACAACAACAGTAACTCAGAGTGAGATTCAGATTCTGCATACAGTATTGATAGTTTAACAAAATAAAATCTACCACAAATTACACATTTAAACAGTTCCCAAATACAAAAAAATGTACCCTGGGATCTATGTATATAAATCAACTGGTGATTTCCTTCTCTTTTAGTAAAATCATTAATGACTGAGTTGTTTTTTCCCACCTGGACCTTTATGCTCTGTCATTTGTCCTCTAATCATCACACTGTAACCTGTGACTGGACGTTATGCTACCATAACTATTGCACATTCACATACATGTAGTTTTTTGTCAAGCCGCAAGTGTCACATAGGTTTACATTACCAAAGGTTTATGACAGAGTCACTTGACGACACCTATTCCCGTGTGCGCACAGTGTGAGAGGAGAGGAAGAGACACAGTGCTGCTGCCAGAGGAGCCACTGAATGAGTTCCCTCTGAGCAGTAAGTCGCTAAAATAGTCTGAGAAGTCCAGGGCTGTTCATAAAACATTCAGGACGTCACAGTTTAATCCATGCTACTGAAGCTGCTCCTCTTTTTGAAACCACCGCAGAGTCTGTAATAATTTAACTTTCAGCCATGTTTGTTGTTGCCATGGGTAACAGTATGACGTCAATATATCAACAAGTCTAAATATTGCCAATATCACGGTATGAATTTTTCATATCATATTAAAAATGCAGATGTTTTCCTGTTTCAGGTGGAGCTCTTGCAGAGGGATTTCAAGCCAGAATGTTTGAGTTCCAGAACTTTGAGAGGCGATTTGAGGTAAGATCCTCATATGTAACAGGGAATCTGCAGGGTCTTAAAAAGTATTAAAAGTTGATAAATCAAATGTCAGAAAATTAAGGCCATTAAAAAGTATTAAAAAGTCTTAATCGCGATTTTATGAAGTATTAAATTTTCTTGGCATTAAAGCTTTGACAAAAAGTATCCATGATATGATATAATTTATTTTCCTCCTCGCGACTATTACAAACAACGATGTGTAGGCACACTCAGACTGCCATTGGGGGGGGGGGGGGGGGATATTAAGTTATTAACTCCAAAAAAGTTAATAACTTAAAAATTATGGCGAAAAGGTAGTTTCTTGCAACCCTAGAATTAAGATAAAAATATTCACAAACGAAAAAATACTTATGGTTGCTGATAGGTAGTATTTACCTTTTTGATTTAACACTAAAAATGAAAACCCTCGGCGTACTGCAGCGCAAGCAGACAGATGCGCGACTCAGAGCAGCATGTGTCACTGACACCAGACTCAGAGCGCAGCAGACCAGTGGAAAATGTCACCATCAGCATATTTTACATCAATAAAATCTATTTTATCATTATTTTGAGTCACATTGTTGAAAGAATTTAGTCTTGTGTTCAAGCAGGATAATAGGTCTCCATTCATTGCATGTCGGGCTTTCTGTTTCCTTGTCGGAGATGTTTTCTTTTTTAATTACATGATAGCTATTCTCCCTTAACTCACCAGTAAAGAATACCTTTGTCCGTGGCGTCAGTGGTTTAGTGGTAGAGCAGACGCCCCATGTACAAGACTGTTGCCGCAGTGGCCTGGGTTCGAGTCCAGCCTGTGGCCCTTTGCTGCATGTCATCCCCTCTCTCTCTCCCCCTTTCACACTTAACTGTCCTGTCCATTAAAGGCAAAAAATGCCCAAAAAAAATCTTAAAAAACAAAAAAAGAATACCTTTGTCCATTTCAAATAACTTGTGGTAATAATAATATCCCTGTTCTCTTATTTACTGTGAAACATTTTTAGGCAATTCATGCAACAATCAGACCAGATGACTTCTTTACTCGGCCTAATGGGGCCGGCCTTTATTTGTCAACTAACCAAAAACAATCAATCAATTAAAAACACAAACTGGAAGTGGAACATGAAATCTTATATGCCTAACAGACATTGCTTCTCGTTCTTTGAGTTTACATATGGCTAAAGGGGAAAAAAACAACCGTAAACAGACAGCATGATTAGTGTTGCGTTCAAGGTCCCCCCAAAAAACGGGAGAAAAAAAGGCCGAATATTCATTGTTGGTTTTTTTTTCACAATCGAATCCCATGCCATCGAACGAAGCTTCGAATTTTTTGGGTCAGCCCTAAATCCCACATGCAAGGGGCTAGCCATAAGGTTGTTGTTTTCAGCAAGTTGGCCTTGAATAGCTGATGTTGAGCTGTAGAGCTGTGTTACTTGTTATGACCTAAGGTGTATTTTAATAAACCTGACTTTGGTTTAATTTATTCTTTCAAGCTTTATTCCTTCTCATCTAATCTGAGTTCTGTTGTATGTTTGTGCTCCACAGATTTAATTGCAAACTACAGCTGTTTAGTAAGTTAAAGATGTGTTGCTGCTCACGACAGCTTAAAGTGGTGATGAGGTCTTAAGGTTTTTTGGAAGGTCTTAAAAAAGTCTTAAAAAGGTATTGAAATTAACCTCAGGATTCCTGCATATACCCTGTGTAACAACCAGAAATAAGATTTTAGTGTGTTGAGAGAGAGCAGAGAGTATAAAGTTAAACGTAGTGGTGTGATGTATTTACAGTTTAGGCTCTTTGTCAGTGACGTTCCAATGTCTTACTTACCACCTGCTGATTAAAGTAATGCAAGTTAGCCCCATAGGTAGCGAGCAAAGTTAGCCTCCCATCAGAACCTGTCCAGGCTCACTTAAGGTGGACTGTTAAGGCGGACTTACACTTGTGCGTCAGCTCTACACTTGGCCTATGCCGTTGTGAGCATTTATAGTTGTGCAGTGGTGTGTCTGCGTCACTCTGCAGTTACACCTCCAAAACGCTAGTTGACGGTGGAGTTTCTGTGAAGTGCTGTAAAGTTCATCTGATTCGAAACACACCTAAAACACACATTAAATATGGCTTAACAGAGACAATTACAAACAGGAGTACACAAATCGGCTTCACTATAACTCGCAGGATTCACAGGCAAAACACTTGTCTTTTGCTGGACAGATTTCCGTCAAATACAACATGGTAGTGTTTTAGCACAAGCCTATGGCATTTTACATTATATAAATTTGCCTCGTGGCTAGCGGACATTTCCTCTACTCGTGTAAAGCCAGAATGAATCCCACACAAGACTTAAAATGCTATTTTGTGGGGACTTTTTTGTCCTCACAATTTATTGTTTCTTATTTGTGAAATCAAAGTAAATAAAAGCTTTGTTTCCACTCAGGGAAATGGTTTTCATCTTACAAAAATTGACAGGAGGTCTGTGTTGCTGTGACGTGTAGTTACATTTCTGGGGAGGTGCACGTCTGGCTATGGCTGTATCAGTGTGGTGTTGATTTAGCCACTTTTAAACAGATAATGGAGGAATGTCTGGCTGCTGAGTCTCTTCTGAGTTGGGGGTACAGTTATTGATAACTTAAAATTGATTTTGTTGTTAGTACTTCAACTGTGATCTAATGTTAAATTATTGTAGTTGGGATTGGTTTTACTTAATAGGTGAATTAATTAATAGAGTTTTGTATTTATCCATATTAATATATTTAATTCTTCTTTAAATAGGGCCGTAACGGTACGTGTATTTGTGTCGAACCGTTCGGTACGCGACTTTCGGTTCGGCATGACCCTGTACCGAATTATTGGGCGCAGGATATTATTTTATTTTATTTTGTTTTATTTTAATTCCGTTTTTGCGAGCTGAACCATTTAAAATATCTAGTTCCCCGACAGACATGACCGAGTCCGACCGTAGATCTCTGCCTTCACTTTGTGCAGCGCATTCTCACATTTTGACAACATGGCAAGTGAGCCTGACGAACCTGAAGACCCACCCGCAAACGTCAAGTCCTCCGTTTGGGAACACTTTGGTTTCAGGGTAAAATACGAAGATGGAAATAAACAAGTGGACAAGACAAAAGCAGTGTGCCGACACTGCAGAACAGTGGTCGGGTATGTACTTGGAAACACGTCTAACATGCTAACGCATCTAAAGCGACACCACCTGAGTTTGAACGTTAACAGGCACGACTAGAAAAAGCAATCTGGTGCAAACTACGATATCGTCGTCGTTTAAAAAGAAAAAGCGTTTCCCTGACCATCGCGCTAAAGAAATAACCAACGCCATTGGAGTTGAGTAAAATTGCTTCAGCTGCACTTTAGATATAAGCATGTTTTGTTTACTGCACTTTAACAAAGTGGGAAAGCTAAGTAAGTTCCTAGTAAAACTGAATCTCAGCAGGCTTTAAAGCTGACCAGCTGCACTATACTTTTTATTAGTGCTGGGCATAGATTATTTTTTTTAATCTAGATTAATCTCACTCTAATTCTGGAGTTAACCTGTATTAATCTAGATTAAAATGTTTCATTTGAATTTTGCCAAGGACAGCGTGTGTTACTGAAATAATGAAAATGCATCACACACTGCACAAGAAAGCTGTTCTACTCTAATATTTGGCAATGAAAATGTTCAAGAATTAGTAAGCCTTTTCATTACCTAGCCATCTTTGTAGACCATACCTGCATGGCTCCAGGAGTTTCTCCAGCTTTTCCAGCTTCTCATATTCAGTGTTTGTTGGGAGGGTCAGATTGTGCTTCTGCTGGGTCAGCATTGTGTGCAGTGGGTCTCTGTTGCGTCTCACGCGCTTGATCATCTCGAGGGTGGAATTCCAGCGTGTGGGAACGTCTTGCACGAGTGGCTCCTGGTCTTGTCCAAGGGAGGCTTGCTGGGCATTCAGCTCGTCTGAGTTGGCCAGACTGTGCTTGAAATGTCCCACCACTTTGCGACACTTGGCCAGTACAACATCAAAACCACCATCCCGAAGAGACACAACAATGGCCCTCTGTAAAAGATGCGCGATGCAGGGCAAATGCTCGAAGGGCAGTATCCTCCCTGCAGCTATCATGTTTGGAGCGCTGTCTGTTCCAATAGTGGTGATTTTGTCAGCTATCCCCCACTGATTAGCGACGTCGAGAAACTGCCTGGCACACGCTTCGGCAAAGTGACGCTCCTCTGTTTTCGTCACACCTAGGACAGACAGAAAGTAGATCAGAATAAGTTCGCTAGGCTACTAGCAATCAGCAGACGTTATTACGTTATTAAACGTAGCTAATGTTAGCTAGTCTGGCCTTAATAACGTTAACTTAAGCTGTGTAAATGTTAGGCTGAAGTAGCTAAGTTACAACGTACCTAAGGCGAACGAGTGAAGTTCCCAGCTGACATCGATGAGGTGTGCAGTAACACCGAGGTAGTTTTCGTTGTTGACTGATGTCCAATGGTCCCCAGTCAGTGCTACATACGTCGTCCCTGCCAACTTCTCCTCTTTAGCGTTTTTCTCTGCGGCGTGCTGGTCATGAATTCTCCTCATGATGGTTCGCCTCGCAGGTAGCTTGTAAGATGGGTCGCCTGTGGCTGCCTGGAGAAGCAGCTCAAGCCCATCATTTTCAACCACGCTGATAGGACGACAGTTGATGGCAATCCACTGAGCTAACAGATTAGTTAGCTTGGCTGACTGAGCAGCGCTGACGGGCTTGCCTCGGTTGCACTCGAACATTGTTGTTTGACGAAAACCACTTTTCCCAGCTACATCATAGCTTGGCCCGGCATCTTCCTTGCTAACAACAACACCTAAAGGCAGCTCACCCGGGTGCTTTGCTTTTAGGTGGTACTTGAGACTCGAGGAACTCCTACAGTAAACTAATTCCGCTTTGCACAAGGTGCAGACAAATTTGCCCTGAAGCAAACCCGGCTTAACAGCATCCATATCAGCTAGCGTTTGATGTGATAACTAGCTTAATTATGATTTCAC